TAATGATGAAATGGTGAAAATGGTGCAATGGTGTAACGATGAAATGATGAAATGATGAAATGGGGAAATGTCGAACTGATGGAACTGTGAAATTGTGAAATTGTGAAATAGTAGAGGTTTAACGCCCTTGTCAACACTATGAAGCCATTTACGAGGCGGGACTTCCGAGTTTGGTTTTGTTTTAGTAAGAGCTTTGGGGCACTTGCAACACAATAACAGGCCATATAAGTGACGAACAATAGACTTGTTACCAGAGAGTAACATACATAAAAAAGAGGAGAGATAAGGACGAAATGTGTTTGATAGGAAAGAAGGATTAAACCACACCAGAGCACCCCTCAACCACCCACCCTCCAAGTTTAACGTCCATCTCCGAAAGGACTGAGCCAAATGGGAAATTATAGTTAAGTGCCTTTCCCAGGGACACAACGTCGGACCGAGCTAACGCTCAAACCCCCCGAACCCGCAACCTCACGATTACGAGCCTGGTAGCCTAACCACAGCGGGGAATGAAAAGAGGGGGGGGGGGTTATGTTGTTCTAATTATGGACTTTTTAAAACGTTCCTTTCAAAAATACAATAGAAAGCCTAAGGTATGCTTAAATTACAATCATAATAATTTAGCAATGGTGTCCTTACTGTAACAGAGAACAAGCAGGATCATGGCTGACAACAACATCAACTTAAACAGAAAAAGACTACGACGACATCAAAGTAACAAAAGCGAGACAAATCGGAATAACAGTCTAAGACAGTTTTGTTTGTTTGTATTTTGCTTGTTTTTGTTTTGTTCTTTTTGCGAAGTACAATAAAAAAAAAGCCAAGTTTTTGAGATAGCTGGAGGGATGGATGGATGAACAGACAGACAGACAGACAGACAGACAGACAGACAGACAGACAGACAGACAGACAGACAGACAGACAGACAGACAGACAGACAGACAGACAAAACCAAACACAGACAGACACACAGACACAAACATTCACAGACCAAACTCGAAGGATAAAGAGGACCAACAAAACGGGAACTATACAAACATCTGCAGATGCCAGGGCCGGCCTGGCAGACTCACCTGGTGAGGACCTTCAGGTGTGACTCAATACTCCGGTGCCGCATGCACAGCCGGGTCAGGGCAGAGCCGATCTCACGTGTGGCACCTGGGGAAGACACAGAGGCGAGGAGACATTTAGAACAACGCAGTCCGCAGTCTTTATTGTCCATTTGTTATTATACCGACATGATAACTTTTATTCGGAGAAGCGGAAAAGCATGTTAGATTTAAACAGACAATGTAGGAGAAAAAAAAAAAGATGGACCTACAAGTGGCACCCTCCCATCATTTACTTGGGGTATTATTCTAAGGAGTTTAAAGGTCTACTTCACAGGAATGGATCAGTTCGAACAACAAGAACAACAAAAGAAAGAAACGGGAGAAGGGTTAATCGTGGTGAAAGATGACACTCGTGTGCTACAGATATTGTAGTGAATGGGAGAGAGATGAAGGTAAAATGGAGAAAAGGG